AGGGAAAAAAGGACATTAATATCGAGGAAGAGAAAGATAAAAGGAGGAAACTACAATACGTTTCTTCTATTACTATAGGGTCTTCTCAAGGAAAATAAACCATTCAATGGGATTATGAAGAGGAAGAAAACCAAATTAATGGCAATCAACAAGGAGGAAAAAACAACCCCTGAAGGGAAGTTGGAAAGGCTATTCCTAGGTTTTTATTATAGTGAAAAGGTGGGAAGAATCTCAAACGAGATTTTCCCCATGGCGATAACATCAACAATGACCAATTTTTATCTATCTAGTATCATAATTGATGGGGAAGCTCTTGTGACATTATGTACATAGATTTTTTAGAAACTTGGACTACAAGGTCAACTCATCCCCAACGAAGACAAGTTTTCCATCCACTATATCCTGGTCAGGACGAACTTGCTCTTTGGATAGCTCAAGGTTTTCATGACGCATCTTTTGAAGGTCGTCCTTAGCTTTCTTTTAAACTTCCCACGCTTCATTCAGAGACAACTCCAAGTCATCCACCCACTTACGAGAAGATTCCAATTATTGGTTCACTTCTGCAAAAACAATCTCAGTAGTGGATAACACCAACCAAGAGGCGAATAAAGCTTCATCATTCTTATTCATCTCTTGCAGAAGAGATTTCACCTTATCAGCCAGTATATGATGGTATTTGAAATTCGGAATTTTATTCCATACTTCTCTCATTAAATCAATTATCTTAAGATCCTCTAGATATCAGACATGCTCGATAGTAAGAGCATTGGCGTCTTATTAAATCACATTTTCTTTTCGAAAAAGGTCAGGCAAGAAAACATCTCCTCTTCCGACAAAACAAAGGCCAAGCAGTCAATACCCAACGATTCTAGTACGCTAGTTCAACTAACTCCTCTTGACGAACGACTTCATCATTTCTTGAAAAACACATGTAATCCTCACCAGAAATAAAAAAATTGAAACTCTCTAGTTGTTCTTAGATCGGGACGGGGAAAAAGTGAATGAAATAATACAATCATGTTCGACGTTGGAAAAACACCAAGACTAGGCTTTCCTAAATCTTTCTCAAGCGTATGATGTAGGAAAAAAGTCCTTTCCCTATAAGTCGCCCTAACAACATGCCTACTGAGATGAATCCCTTCAGATACAATTAGCGATGAGCATTGGGTGCTTTCTTCCACGAATCCATCCAAAGATTATGAACTTCCACTTGGACTGGGATAGGAAGGGTTACCACAAATAGACCAACAAGGGAACCTTTATACGAGATTTCTCCAGTAGCCTTCTCAACATCAGCAAACGTTGGCAAAAGAGCAACCTTATTCATTTTCTTCATCTGAAATATCGTGTTATAACATTTCATCTTATATACGAATCAAATATTAAATAAGATAAGGCAATACAAATCATCTTAGAAGAACCAAAGAAAGGAGGAATGTTTCCGCATTATTCACCAAACATGACATGTTTATCCTCCTTAGAAACATCTTCCACTATTAAGCGCATCTCTATCAACTTCTTTTTTTTCCTTGGTGTTGCCTCCGAAGGAATGACACGGTCAACATAGTCCAAATCTTCAAAGAAGGCTACCAATTTCCTTTTCACATATGTTTCTTCCAGAGACAAGTAATTCATTTATATACATAACACACAGTATTTGCCAAAAAATGGCTTTGGGGCTAGAACTTGAAGAATTTGTATGAATATTTATAAGGTGGCTCAAATCTATGTTTTAAATATTGGCATGTGCCACCTTAATAAGGGGGTGACTAGGTAGTAATGATCTTTGAAGTTCTTCACTCTATCTGAATAAACCTAAAAAATACTAGTACTTTGCCTAAGGGAGATTGTGCCTTGACCTCATGGTGAATCAATAGAACTTTATTGGACTTTAAAAAGGTGAAAGAAGAGTGTTAGAGTCGACACGCCTTTCTTGTATTCACATGATTAATGGAAGACCTTGATATAAGTCTAACACACCATATGCAGTTGTAAAAGAGAAGTTACTAGATGGTTAAGAACTCTCACCTTAAAGTCATTGAAAGGGATGCAGAGACCTATCAAAGAAAATATCCATTCATGGATAAGGATGACACACCATATTACTTGCTTCAAATCCTCTTATCCCATTTGGGAGGAAGCACTCCTCAGTCTGAGGGGGGGTCCACTTCAGTAAAGGCATGGTCTAGGCCACGTTTATAAACAAAGCCGAAAATGGTGTCTATTATCTTTTGATCCACCCATACAATAGAGTTGTCTTCCGCCATCTTCCAAGTTCTGAATTAAGGGTTGTCCATGTCAAAAAAGGATTTCAACGCGTGAGATAAATTACCATAATAAAAACACATGGTCAACACAAAGAAACACTTCGTGCCCCACCAAAATTATTTATAGCAAAAGAATTCACCAAAGCACGAAACAGAAAGGACTAAAAACGCATAACTCTCTTATCTAAAAACCCTAATAAAGTAAGCATGTGTGAAAAAAGAGAAAGTTGAGGCTCATGCATTACCTTGAAAAGATGAACTAAATGATCCAAACGTTACTGTTCGACCAAAAGAGGTGGTGCAAGTGCAAATTAAGAGCTAATGGGAAGAGTTTGACGAATATAGAGGAGGTCGAATATGCAGGTAAAGAGCTTTCAAAAATTCACAAATGAAAAAAAAGAACACGGTAACCTCATAACTCTTTATATATCTGTTAGCTCACAAATTCGACGCCCATATTTAAATTAAAATATTTGGATAAAATATTAAACTTTTGAAGAAGTATGAGAAACCTTTGAGTGAAGAGACTTTCAAGTAGGCTGAGTGATTTAAGTATTTGGGATTTAGAAAATATTTTCAAATATTAAAAGTGTCACCTTCGACCGAGTATTGGTGGAACTTTGAAATTCAAATAAAGGAGGGAGTAGTTATGTTTTCTCATGACTAAGCAAGACAAGTGGCGTGCGTCCAGCCAGGGACTACATGCGACGTGACACTTGTCATGGGCTGGTTATTTTAGGAGGTTAATGGCAGTTAATTTTACCATTATAAATAAGGGTCCTAGCAATGGAATTAGTGTGTTGTTATTTACTATTGTACAAGTCACTCTCCAAATTACTCAAAATATCTGAGTGTAGAGAAACGAGTTCTAAGGAGAATGTACGTCTTGTAAACACGCTATCTTTACATTTTAATGAAACTTAGTTTATTTTACTTAATTTTAAAGAGTTTATCTTAACTTCCTTGCAGTTTACCTTTGTTATTCCACTTTACTCTATTTAATGATGTAAAGGCATTTTCACCCTGTTTCTACAAATTCACGTCTTTTTCTTTCAGTCGAATCTTACCTTTACATTAACTTTGTCTTCAAAAACACTGTCGACGTGTTAGTTTTAAGTAGTTTTTCTTTCAAATAGAATTTAGCACATGTCCTAGGATCAATCTGATTGATCCTGTGAGTCACCAAAGTAAGATTTGGAAGATCAGCGATTGTTTTCCAATTTTCAAGGGAAACAATATCCTCCTAGGAAGATGAACCATGTGATCCTCGACATTGAGAGGCGCGAATCATACCACTAATGGTCGAGATTTCATCACAAGTTGTACAAGAGCACTCAAATGTCATATTATTATAAGGAATCATTACAATCATATGTAGGGACACATGTTGTGACATGCCTACGAAGTGTTGGTAATTACGAAGGAGACGTTTAATGCACCTCTTCTTAAAGACATCAATGTTCCATCAAGGCTTTTATGTCTTTCTCCACCATAGGTCGAACTGAAGATGAAATCGAAAAATCCTTTCCTCTATGACGTATGAACAAGGGCTTGTAGGCAACTTATCTTGTATGTCCGCAAGGCCAATGAAGAAGGTCCTATAATAAACGTCGAAGAGAAAGACGCGTGAAACAAGTGGACCCACATCTTTGCCGAGGACACACGATTACACCCTCCAACACATCTCTCACCGTTGAATCTAATTGAATGGCAATTCGCACAAGGCGTTGAATCACTAGCGAACGGTTTTAACCACCAATACTATATAAGACCAAATCGTGTCATTTCAAGTATTAAATTTAATACACTCTCAAACTATTTTTCACTCAATCGCTAACTTGAAAGTTGAAGTGATAACTTGCAGGTTTATCCCGTCTCCGTCGTGCCAGAAGCTTGCTCCACCGTACGAAAATTTTATTTCCCCACTGCACAACACATTTCTAGCTCCTTAATGGAACACGAGTTAACAAAGATTAACTTGTTTGATTTAGATTAGAACAACAACAAAAGGTTAAAAATTTTAATTTGAATGTTTGAGTTCATCTGATTATTAGTTTGCTTCTACTGCTACTGCTACAAAAGTTGAGAGACTCAACAAAAGTACTATATGGATCATCATCAAGAAGCGTACATGAGTAGAAGTTGTAGAACAATCGATGAAAGCAGGTATATCTGAATGTCATTCCAAACAACGACACTACTTAAGGTTTTGGTTTCCTTTTTGAAAATCACCACCTAATCCAATTAAGAAAAAACCAACTCATGATAAATAATGGTTTTGAAAACATATAACTACTCTTAAAGTGAGACTTTAAAAAATATCAATAAAATACCTAATGCTTAAATCTGTTACTCATCATTTTGCTTAATGCATGCCTTCTTTCTCGGATTCTAACTAAGTCACCATAACAAAACTATCGAATGGAATAGGCATGCACAATATCTAACACAGTTTTTGAGTTTTATATTTACTAATCTACTCAACTTTAACAACTAATTTGGATTTTCATGCACTCAAAGTCAACTAAAATGTACTATTGTTTATCCTATAACACTGAACCCAACTTGTTCTGCTTGTCCTTTTTTATAGCTTTCCTCAATCACATGCATTCTTGATCATCAAATAATAGTGACTAAGTATAGAATAATCCCATTAATCATTGTATTTCTATGTATAAATAGGCTATAATTGTGTCATAAGCTTAACAAGAACAGATATAGTACTTAATGAAAATGCATCCCAAAAAACTTAACTGTGCAATTATAGTTTTGGTCACATATCTTTTAAATGAAAGTGTTTGTTCTCAACTGGATGTTGGGTTTTATAGCTATTCATGTGGTATGGCTGAGTTCATTGTAAAAGATGAGGTTAGAAAAAGTTTCAATAAGAATCCTGGAATTGCTGCTGGACTTGTAAGAATGCATTTTCATGATTGCTTTATCAGAGTAAGTCATAATACAGTCATAATACTAGTTGATTAAGATAGAGGTCATAGATGGTATATCATCTTAATCGTTAACTTTAATCGCGTTCATTAATTGTAGGGGTGTGATGCTTCGGTACTTCTTGATTCGACTCCCTCTAACACTGCAGAGAAAGACTCACCAGCCAATAAACCGAGTCTCAGAGGGTTTGAAGTTATTGATAATGCTAAAGCTAAACTTGAAGAAGTATGTAAAGGAATTGTTTCATGTGCTGACATAGTTGCTTTTGCAGCAAGAGACAGTGTAGAGTTGGTAAGTCCGTCTACTTTGTGATAGAAACTTTCGAAAGTAAATACTTATTTCAAAATGACCCTACATCATATGCAGGCTGGAGGGCTTGGTTATGATGTTCCTGCAGGAAGAAGAGATGGGAAGATATCACTAGCTTCTGATACAAGAACAGATTTACCTCCTCCAACTTTCAATGTTAACCAACTCACTCAACTCTTTGCGAAGAAGGGGTTAACACAAAATGAAATGGTCACTCTCTCTGGTAGGTTTTTCCTCAAAATCGGAAAGTTATAACAGTTTGATCTTGCAGCATAAATTTGTCAATGACATACTTTTGTGTATGCAGGAGCACACACCATTGGACGCGCTCATTGTTCTGCTTTCAGCAGCAGATTATACAACTTCAGCAGCACTTCAAGGCAGGATCCAAGTTTACATCCCTCATATGTTGCACTATTGAAAAGGCAATGTCCACAAGGAAGCACAAACCAAAACTTGGTGGTACCAATGGACCCTTCTAGCCCTGGAACTGCAGATGTAGGGTACTATATTGATGTCTTGGCAAATAGAGGCTTATTCACATCTGATCAGACTCTCTTAACTACCACTGGAACAGCCAGACAAGTTAATCAAAATGCTAGGAATCCCTATCTATGGGCACACAAGTTTGCAGATGCAATGGTGAAGATGGGGCAAATTGGCGTCTTAACAGGCAATACTGGGGAGATTCGAACAAATTGCAGGGTGATCAATAGCTAGACATGGTGTTGATGTATTGAAGTTCCTGCAGCAGTAACAATTTAGAAATTCTATGGTGTGTTTCATCTGGTCTTGCCTGATTTATTACAAAGCAAACAACTTTGGTTTTGTTTCTTTTCTGTGTAATTGTAATTGGCATTCATCATTTGGTTGATTGTGGCTCTTTACTTTTTTTTCAAATAGACAGCTGTCATATGCAACAAGAGTTTTTACTCGCATTATCTGAATTAATTTCTGTTTGCATGATTGCAGAGAACATCCAATCACAGTGCATTTTTATCTTGTTAATTACAAGAGTATCGCATTGTATTTTGAAAAGAAGTTCAAATTAATCTCACCAACAAGGCACTAAAAGAATTTCCAAAGACCGCATGTAGGTAAAACCCCGTCATCATATCTAATTGAACAATAAAATAGAAGCTCAAATATAACAAAAGAATATGATCATTGATCATCAAGCCGTAGGCACAAAATTCAGAGCACAACAAAATTTATTAGGTAAACCAAATCATATGGACCATAGTATTATTTGACTACACTCACTTAAGGATGGAACTAGTTCCAAAATCATCCCAAAAATGCAAATACAAATAAAGCATAAAGCAAAATTAATTAGTTAGCTCCATGATGGCACCAACAATGTCTCCATTGTGAGTCTTGAGAGCCTTGACGGCTTTGCTTCTTGACACTCCTGCCTGTGTCATGACCAGATCAATATCGTGGGCTTCCACACCAGTTTCATCAACCTCCTCTTCCTCTTCAGGCTGTGCACCATCAGCTGCAGCACCCTGTTCTTGTTTTGCCATAATAGATCCCATATCTGGCATCCTGAACTGTTGAGCAGCTTGTGTCTGCAATTGAGAGCTCAGGTCCTCTATTTTTGCCTCCCCAAATATAACGTAGGTCTCAGAATTTGGACTCTTGAAGACATCAGGTTTTGAGATGAAAAACATTATCTAACAAGGTATAATAAAATAATTAAGTTAGAAACCTCCTTACCTATCATAGATCACAGAGAAAATAACATATACAAGTCTTGTAAATCGTAAATAGTGGAAATTAGCGGTTTGTTCAAATTTCACTACGTTACAATATTAGCACCGCAATAGCCACTATTTGACAGCACTTTTTACTAAACAATATTGCCAATAGCGGATCGCGGAAGTTTGTTCAAATTTCACTATGTTACAATATTAGCACCGCAATAGCCACTATCCGACAGCATTTTTACTAAACAATATTGTCAATCGCGGATCGCGGAGGTTTGTTAAAATTACGATGTGCTATAATGCTATAGTGCCACTGTATAGCATCTATTTGATAACATTCTGTCCTAAATAGTGTATCCTAGAACAATAGCGGTTAGCCGCTATCTGACAATACTTGATACTATAGCACCACTATAACACATGTACTAAATAGTGTATCATTAAACAATAACAATTAGTTCAAATTCATCCACACTGACATAACTATTAATTGACAGCTCCGTTAACAACTCACGTTTTTTGTTCTTTTGATTGTTACTCTACTAACACCGTCAATTGGTTTTAGTCCCAGTTTCAACATTGCTTTGCGACTCTTCTTCTCACTTCTACTCTGCTTTGAACCTTCAGTACCACCTGCATCTCAAAGTCCAATCAAACAAATCAAAATACAACATCACATGGCGCATATGTAATGGGTATTCGCAATTTAAGATACATAAATTGTGATTTGTGTAAGTAAATATCCCAAATGCTATAATTATGACCTAAAATTTCTGACTCTTAAACAATGTTCATACTATATATTATAATAGCATAAAAGGTATAGCGGTTCGGTTGTACCTTGAGCGGCGTCATCTTCCTCGTCGTCAGATTCATCTTTCTCGTCGTCGTCGTCATCCTCGACAATAGGAGCATCGTTTTCTTCCTAAGGGAAAACAGATCGTAGAAGGAAATTAGAGGAAAACAAGGCAGAGGAGAGATATATGAAATAAGATGGAAATGGGGAAACCTGGGGAAGATGTGCCTTCTTGAGGGTTGTTTCGTCGACGGAGGGGAGTTGTTGGTCGGTGGTTCCGTCGGCGGTTGTGGCAACAATGGGACCTGGAGACATGGCTAACGGTTTTGCACTTCACTGAACAACCTAGGAATGAATGAGGATGGGAGTATTTTGGTGCTATTCACATTCCTTCATTTCATTCACGCCATTTCCTCATCGAAGGCTTCACGTTCCTTGGGCCAAAACATCAATAAGCCCACTCTATAGTTAACCATCTACTAGAGTTTGGACAAGCTGCACTTTATGTATTACTATACAAAAATCTCTCAATTTTTCGTGATATATATTCGGATGTATCACGAGTAAACAAAATTTATATTTATTGATAAAAATTTTTGGAAATATATCTTCAAAATTATTTCGGAAATAAATCTCCAAACGATATTGGTTTTTAATCGCGTCAGAACCTTTCTTCTTCCTCATTTAAAAAAAAAAAAAACAATTTTCTCAAACTCTCCCAAAGGTTCTTCCATCAACCAAGTTCAAAATCAATCAACCAAGTTCAAAGGTTCTCCCATCAACATCAAATATATTCGAGACATCATTCAACATTGAAGTAAACTCTCAATTTGTAAGTTTTTTTTTTTTTTGAAAAGTTTTGAGTTTTTGTGTAAATGAGTAGAAATTGATGATTTAGGTAAGAAATGAGTAAAAATTGCATGAATGATAGTTTATACATATTATAAAACATGTTCAATTATTAAAAATAACAATCAAACCATTATTTTTGGGTTTTAATGGTCTGCATTACCACCATTGACGGACCTGAAAAGTTGCAGAAAATTTCGGACATGCATCTCCAAAAAATTTCTATGTTTGGGTTACAAATAACCGGAGATGCATCTCCGTAAATTATCAGTATTTCTTTACTTTTCTTGCTTGTAGGGTTGTTTGTACTAATTGTCTAGTTTTCTTACAAGCATTGTGACTTATAGAGACGACTGACTAAGGCACGGAAGAATTGCACAACATGCATCAGTCTAGAGGGAGAAGAGTTGGGTTTCAGAGGCTTCTATTCACTCTAGCCTAATACATACGGAGACATCGACTTCTGGGGCTCATACTTCTCTATCTTCTTCCCGTAGGAGACGTGTGTCACCTACTGACACTTCACTGCCTTCACCCTTCCGCAAGCGATAGGTTTCACCTATTCAAGCGTCAGAGGTACCCGAGTCACTATTGGTACATGAGGCACCACTACCACTCTATGTACTAGAGGAATCTTATGCTGATGAGCTAGTGCCACCTTCGACTAATGAGGCTTCTGAGTCAGGGTCATCTCAGGCTGCTGAGGATGATGAGTCAGTGCCACCTCAGACATTTGGAGGAGGTCTTGTAAAGTTGTCACTGTTGCCTTTGTACCTGGACCATAATGTCATACATATTTGGGACGGAAAGGTAAAGTTAGTTAGATTCATTATTTTTAAATTATGTTTATTATTATATTACAATTTTATGATATAAATTTAATTTTCTACGGGACTGTGATCCGCTGAAGTTTATTAACTATGAGTAGAATATTATTGGCTTGCCTCAATCGAATAAGAGGTGGTTTCAGGTTGTTTTGCCTCTATCTTGGATGAAGGACATGTGCAAGACCGATTATGCTACGGTCAACCACAAGATGCTTAATGCATTCGTGGAGAGATTGCACGCATAGACCTCGTCATTTCATCTATCGCTTGGTGAGATGTCTATCACACTCAACAATGTGTCGTATACTATTTGGGAGTTGACTCAGAGGATACCATGAAAGAGTTTGAAAAAATCAGAGAGGATCGTGCTAGGTTTGAATTCTTAAAAAAAGTATATACAATTGCTTATAGTTGAGCACACTAGAGGTGATGAGGAGAAGGTGGGGTTCCATAGAGTGTATGCTATGATATCATACTTGCTATATTTAGTTGACACTGCGATTTTTGTGAACAAGAGTGACACTTATATGGATGTCGTCTACCTACAGTACTTCGAGGACTTTGAGTGGATCCATGAGTACAACTAAGGGGCCACTTGTTTGGTCTACTTGTATTCAAAGTTATCAGAGGGGTGTGAGTGGATAACAAATTAGTTCACAGGAAGCATCACACTACTCACAGTCATATTTATTGGTTTTTTAATGGTCCTATGTCATTTTCATTATATTTTTGCAACGCCCTTAATGTTGATTTATGTGTTCCAACACTTTTCAGGCTTGGATCCTTCAGCACATCCCACGCATATTTACTTGGTCGTGTGTACTGAATTATACTGAGGATATGTCATGTGCTTCTGAATTTGCTCAGCTCAGAGGGAACCAGGTGATAGAGTCATTCATAGTGTATCTTGACTGCTTGGTTGCCAAGGATATGCACTTTAACAGCTATATCGATCACCATGATACATTTCCATTTGAGGACATAGGGTTTTACTCGGAATGGTTGGCTTGTGGTTCATGTCTCACATTTATTCATTTGCCTGAGCACGTCATGCAGAAGTTTTGCTACACTCAGACTATTCCCAGACATCATGATCTCTCTTCTCCTTCTGCTATGACACGTAGAGATAAGGATGCCATGTTTGATTATTATCTTAATTATCTAGTACCGGAGGAGGCACAAAGTACCATAAATGAAAGCGACTAGAGCTATGTCAACTGGTACATCAGGTGGTTCTTTAGGGTGTCACATCTGTATATGGTGCAGAATGCTCTAGGAGATCCATCGAGCCCAGCTCATCAGGAGATACTAGAGGATGAACAATCACAATTAGATCATGCTCATGATGTCTTGCCTAAATGTTGTCACATAATGGAGATTGTGCAGGTAGGAATTGATAGAGGTAAATATTATTGCTAAAAAATATTAAAAGGTTGACTTCCTTGTTATCAGCCAAGGAGAGGCTAAAATGATTGGTTTGAGTGTTTGTTATGTGTTTGTTATTTGTTTTTTTCCTGTCCTTTACCCTCTAAGCCACCACCTATTTATAGGCCTCATTCATTTATTCCTCCTTCCTCGTTTTATTCGTATCCTTCATAAATATATTTCCTGTAACGCTCGTCGTCCTTATAATTGTTGTATAATGTCCGCCTCTTTAATAATTGTAACTCACCTCTCATAATGTATCATTCTCTTATTGTTTCTTGTGACTCTTATGGTGATATCCTGGCACTATCATCAACCTCAACTTATACAAATGAGGTCAGCTCTAATTTGTATGAGCAAGGTCGGTCCCGGTGTGTTCATCTTCATATTTCTAACCAGACTCCGGCTTATCTGAGTGATCATAACCAGACAACCTATTTATTTCGTCGAGCCCGACTTTCTCATCAACTCGGCCCTAAGTAAATTTTGGTATGCATAATAGGTTTTTTCTGAGCTTATACCTCGGCTGGTCAAACTAATTTTCTAGAGCGTACATAAGCCCTTCGAGCATGAAATCTAAAAAGTTGAAATGTTTGGACAATATAAGCCCAAAAATGAAATTTACATGTAAGCCCAGGGTCAAAATTTTCTTCAGTCCTCTCATGTCGCGGTACTCGTTTTTAGTGACGTGTCTTAATTATGTCAAATGTGAAGTGTATCTTCACTAGATTCTCTCTTTCTTCAGTAATGATGACTTTTTATGGGAAATTTATCCCCTTCAATGATTCAAAACGCTTCAAGTTTTTTGAGTTTTTAAGAGGATTTCCTCCTGATTAACGTTATTTCTCCATCTTTTGGTTTATCATTCACTAGAATAGCTTATTCCTTTTTTCAAAGCAATTTTCAAAGCGTTCGTTCATTCTTCAAGATCACGTATATTTACTTTTTATTTCTCTGTTCTACGTTCTTTTATTCAATTACTATTGTTCGTGCATGTGGCAATGAGTCAAATGTATTAAGAACCTTGAGTACTCGAGAAATAAAAGATCTTTGGGACTTTCATGTGAGAGGACATATGGATACTCTAAACTAGGTTAATTTTGATCATATTGTAAAGGAGGCTTATGGAAGTATTTTCGCCTCTTTTAGTGATTCTCATTTTAAATCTTCTTCATCAGGTTCACCAGTAGAGGTGTTGGTGGAGATTATGGACTCATTTGATCCAGAAGTAATGAGTTACAATCACAACTTTATTGACAAAGTGAAGATTGGTAAACTTCGATCTCTGAGGAATGTTTCCTCTTTTGGGAACGTAGACGATGTCATTTTGGAACCTTGTATTCCAAGGAAACTTGTTTGCATAGTTCTTCCCAAAGGGGTTAAAGAGGAATATTTCCATTTTTACATCGGGGTATTGGAGGATTTTAAAATTTGTCTTCCCTTTATCGATTTTGAATCTGATTTGTTAAAGACCTTGAATATTGCCCCTTCTCAACTTTGTCCTAATAGCTGGGGGTTTATCAAAGCTTTTGAAATAATTTGCGAGGCCATAAATGTAAAGCCCACCATAGGGTTGTTTTTCTCTTCTTTTTTTTAAATCAAGGTGTTGAGAAAGGTGGTTGGGTGACAATTAGAAGCCTCCCTGACAAGAGTTTTATCCATGCTTATACCACCAATTATAAAGGTTTCAAAGATCGGTTTCTTTGAATTAAGTGTGGACCGAGATGTCCTCGGGTAGTGTATACGCTAGATGGATCTCATTGTTTTCCTATTTATTGGACCGGAAGTCCACTTTTGGTGTCCGGGTTTGATTTTGACAAACTAAATAACCAAGAGATTAAATCTCTAGCCATATATGATTATTTTTGTATGATGAGGTCCCAAGATCTATTGTTATTACCCGAAAAACAAGTTCTTTCTTTTATGGGTAATATTAATTTTTTTGCATTACTTGGGTGTCACTCTTTATTCTCCTAACCTTTTTCCTCATTTTTTTATGTAGGAAAAATCATCAACCTGTCGGTGAAAGAACATAATAAGTTGATGATGAAAGCTCAGGCGACGAGGCAGGTAGCCGACCAAATTGCTATTAAATCGGACCTGTCCGACTTAGAAACCTGGATATTGAAGAAAAGAAAGTTAGCCCCGAGCAAAAAAATATCAAGCATTTCGGAGCCTCCAACCTTCACCTTTTCGCCTCAAAAAAAGTCCTCA